CAAAACCATTGTCTCTATTAAAGCTGTTGTAAGACCACGTTGGTTGATATCTTGTTATTTCGAGTCCTTTTTCCATATCTGATGCAATTATGTTTTCAGCGCCTGGAAGATGGCAAGTAAAGCCAGCGGTGAAAACAGGGAACCAATGAATGAGCAAGCCATTGCCAGTATATATGCTACAATGCGCTCGGAGATAAACCAGCTATACTCAAAGATCACTGAATTGGAGATGGAGGTCGGCGAACACTCCCTCGTAATCGGAGCAATACAGCCACTTGATCCCTCCAGGCGTTGCTTCCGCATGATCGGCGGGGTGCTTGTTGAAAGGACCGTGAAGGAGGTTTTACCTGCGGTTCTACGCAACAAGGAGGGCTTGCAGGAGGTGATTGCACGGCTCTATGAGGCTTTGGAAAAGAAGAAGAAGGAAGTTGCTGAGTTTGAGGTGAAGCATAAGATAAAGATTAGAAAATCAGACAGTGAGACTAAAGATGATGGCGGCCGGAAGGAAGGGTCTGCGCAGGGTGTGCTTGTAGGTCCTGCAAGCTAGCAAGGTTGGTTTTCATCTTTCCCATGGTTGTGATTTTGCTATGAGTTTTGGATTAGCTCAAGCTTCTAGAACCATTGCAGTAATAACTTTGTTATATTTTGGTCAGTTAAGCTTTTATTTCTGAACATGCTCATTTCATTTTCTTATACTCCAATCTGTCATACTAATAGAGAAGGGCAAATAGTTAATATTTTTATCCTACATGATAAAATTATTTTAACTAGGCAATCCCCTATAAAAGATCTTGTGCCTTTTATGAGCTATAACCTCTAGCTACAAACACCATCACTTGGAAAACTAATCATTTAATATGGCATGTTATAACAAAATTCCTTTTTTATTTGACTGATGGAGCACATCATGTAGATCAAGCAAACAAAACCAAATTTTTATTTATAGGAGCTCAAGAAAGTGCCTAATCAAATATTCATCACCAGAGTCTAATAAAAAATGATTGAATTTTATATCTTATAATTAAAATTTCAATTTCAATTTCTAGATGTTTTAAATTATTAAGTTTGACAATTCATATGAACTGATCATTCCTATATTATTGGCCTCTTATTTTTCCCTCCAAATCTTCTTTCTTTCTTTCTTTATTACTTTTTTCCCTTGAATTTTGCTTATTGTAAGCTTTATAAATAGGGCTGGTATGAAATTAATATTTTTAGTTATTGAATGAAATAGTTATAGTAAAATTTTACTCTCTTTAGCTTGGGTGCTTCGTAGTTTCTACTATATGTCCTTTATTGGGTGAGAATAGGTATCTATCCATAATTTTCTTTGAAGTTATTTAATATCCCTCCATAAAACCTATTTTAAGCAATTCATTGTTCCTCCTCCAAGTTCCGAGCATCATTAAGTTTAACAAACTAGTAATCAAAGCCTCTCAACTATATTCTAAAAACATTTCATAATTCTCGCCCCAATATGGATAACATTAAAAACTAAATGTGTTCTCTAATCGCCAACAATCATATGGATATGTATTGATTGTAGGGTCATTCATGACATCATTTTCAAATATAGAATTTTTATCCCTTGATTATATGATATATTAGATTTTATCTTGAGGAATAATTTCTATTCTAAAATTGATCTAAAAAGTGATTATATCCATAAAAGTATTCTATTGAGATATGACTAGAAAACTAATTTTAAGACTCCTAATAAACAAAATGGGTTGTTGTTGATGCCCCCCCAACTACATTTTTTAGGTGAATAAATACAATCTTAAAACACTTTATAGGAAAATTTTTTGTTGTCTATTTTCATGACATCTTGATATTTAACATATATAAAATATACTATCTAAATGCATCATAGACAAGTCCTTGAAACCTTTAGGAAATAACAACTATATATTAACTTAAAGAGCTATTTTTTTATAAACTTAGGTGTTTTTTCTTAGGATTCATTATTTCTACTTCTAGGATCAAACCAAATCAAACCAAATCAATAAGAGTTTCACTAAAATACAAAGCTTTTACTGCATTCTATTTTTTTATGAAAGATTTATTAAGGGATTTAATTTTTTATTGTCTCCATTGATATTCTAAAGTTAGAGTATTTTTTTGGACTTCTATAGCACAAAATGCCTTAGATTAGGCTAAGTTCTTAATTTTGTTTGCCCAAATCCTTAGGCTACCTATTTTTTTCTAAAAACTTCAAAGAACTTGTGATAGCTCAGAGTTAGAATTGATAAAGTTTAAAGTCAAAACAAAAATTCATCTTGTGGCTTATTTTAGTGAGAAATTAAATGCGATGAAATAATGATGCTCCACAAATAATCGATAATTTCATGTTGTCATCCAATCTATGAGACAACGCATCGTTATCTTTTAAACATGAACTTCATTCTTAGCTTGGAATATCTTGCTCTCAAATTCATCAATACTTGACAAAAGTTAAGCTTAACAAAGCTAAATTGGTTGAATTTCTTCAAGATTATTTTTTTATCCTTAAACATAAACATGTAATTGAGAATGAACTTGTTGTTTTCTTATATAGGGTAACTTTAAATATTAGCTTTCTAGAACTAAATAATTTAAGATATGAAGGGATCAAAAATAAGTATAACGTGTTTTGTAACTTTCACCTAATTTATATGAAGAACTTAAAATGAAGTTTTAGCTATTCAAATTAGGGTTGTAAACGAGCCGAGCTTGAG